AGAGCAGGGCTGGGGGGGTCAGGTCAGAGTTAGGTTGCTCAGAGCAGGGCTGGGGTGCTCAGGGTGGGTGCAGAGCTGGAGGGAGCAATCCCCCACTGCCAGGGACAGCTGAGCCCTTCCCACCTTTGCTGGCTGTGGCAGAAGGTGTTGGAACCCTGAGTGCCGGGCAAGCAGCACTCGGGGTGTCCCAAAGCTGCTGAGAAAGGGGAAAAGCAGAAAATGTTCCAGCAGAAACGCCAGCGCAGCAGCGGCACCGGCTGGGGGTGAACCCGGGGGGTGAACCCGGGGGGTGGCAGCGAGGGCTGAGGGCATCTGGAGACCTGCTGTGGCCCCAGTGCCATCCTCGGAGGGCGAGCGGGGCCGGGGGGACTCGGGGCGAGCCCGGCCCTGTGGGAGCTCCCGGGGCACAGCCAGGCAGCGTTTGCCTTCCGGGAGCCTCCCACAGCAGCAGCTGCTGCTCCTCCGCCCCCGGGGGTTTGTTCTCACTTCAAACACTCATCTCTTTCAGTACTTTAACCCCCCCAGACATTTACAAGCACTTCAGCGTTTCCAGGGGAAAACAGTTTTACTGGGAGCAGAATTCCATCTCCGATTTCCCCCTTTTCCCTCCCCACCGCGGCTGTGGAGAAGCTGCAGTTGGGAGAAGCAGCTCGTGGACTGGGAACAGTTTTTGGCAGCTGCTCGATTTGCCCCAAAAAGATTTCCTTTGGGGAGAAAGATTTCCTTCGGGGTCCATTTGCATCCTTGAGCTTCCCTTGATTTTGGGGTCAGGCTGTCAGGGGAGCAGACGGGAGGAGAGGAGGGGGGTGGTCCTGATCCTGCCTGGAGCCCCAGAGCTCCCAGGAGTCCTGGCTCCTCTCTGATGACTGTCACCCCCCACCCTTCCTCTCCTGCCTCTCCCCTCTCCGTGGCTGCATCTATTCCTTCACCCTCTCCACTTCCATCCCATTTTCATCCTCTGGATGTTTCCTCTCCATGCCCTGTCTCCCTCTCTTCCTGCCATCCCTTTCCTCTCCCTTTCCGGGCTGTTTTCTGTCTCCTGTCTCATTAACTCCTTCCTCTCCTGCTCCTTCCCCCCTCACTCCCTCTCATCCCTGTCCCTCTCGGCCACTCCCTGGCTCAGGTACTTGATCATCGAGAACTTCATCCCTCCCGAGGAGAAGAACAAGATCATGAACCGCCTCTACTTCGACAGCGACGAGGACCAGTGGAAGTTCCAGCCGCTGGTGCCCACCGGAGGGTACGTCCCGGCCCTGGCCCAGGCGCTGCCCCGGCGCTGGTGGCCCGTGGGCACTGATGTCCCCGGGGCTTGGGGCCCAGGGACCTGCAGGTGCCCACGTGTGGAAATCCCCTCCCGGCCAAGCCCCAGGGGAAGGGCCACGAGCCCCCTCGGTGCCCGCTGGGACACGGCTGCGGTCAGTCCGTGCTCCCTAAGGCGGGTCCTCCCTCCATCCCTGCTCCAGGAACAGCTCCCAGATGAAGAGGCGCCCGACCTCCGCCGTGGGCTACAAGAGACCCATCAGCCAGTACGCCCGCGTGGCCATGGCCATGAGATCCCACCCCCGCTTCCGGGTGCGTGACGGGCACTGGGGTGTGCCGGGGGGCACTGGGGTGTGCCGGGGGGCACT